CAGTGTTGTACCTGTGAGGCCTGGCCAAGCAGGAGCAACGTCCATTCCTGAATCTGTTGAGGTTGACCACTGTCTTCTTGGGAGGCTGCTGCCACGGACCAAGACATTACCACTGATCTCCACTAACAAAATGCAAATACTTTATATGATAAGTTCAAACAAACAAACAAACAAACGCAAACAAAGAAACAAAAACAAATGTGCACAGTAAAAATACTTAAATACTTATCCAAGCAATTTAAATTCTGTCCTTGTTTTTGTACAGCTGCAGCACATGCACAAGTGGTTTGTGTGTGTGTGTGTGTGTGTGTGTGTGTGTGTGTGTGGCAGATTTTCCTGCATGAAAAGAACTGTTTCAATTTAAGGTGTTTGATACAGCAGAGCGGCAGGGCAGTCTTGTATGCAAGTTGGCTGGAGGGAGGCAGCTTTGCTTATTTGCCCTCCTGCTGGGAGTCTCAGCAGGGGACTGATGTGTAATCCAGTGCCAGGCTTGTGGGCCCACACAGGATATCTCACCTATAATAGCAGCCTATTCCCCGAGGCTGCATCCCTGATGGAGGTGTGAGAGGGCCAGAAGTCAGGATAGACAGTCATACAGCAAGCCTTTTTTCACATAGCCTATTCAAAGAGGGACTGTTAAGCCTTTATTTTTGCCTTTATGTGTGAAAGGTACGGAGACTTCCATTGCAGTTGCCTCTAGAAGCTGCCAGCAGAGGCAGTCACAAGGCCAAACTAACATTTGTGTGAAAGGGAGAATCAGTTATGTTTATTTCTATGTGATGCATATGATCTGCCACCTGGGGATTTAGTTTAAGTAGTTCAAATCAGTAAACAGTTAGTAGCTAATCCTACAGGATTGATGGAATAATATTGAAAAGGCCTACAAATCAGACTTTGACAGATGATGTAAAATTCCCGTTGAGTGCATTTTAGCTTTAACACAATGATGAAGGTATTCTGCTGTCAAGGCCGTTCTGTTGTCAACACAGATCATTTTCTTTTTGTTTTTGTTCTTTTGTTGGTGAAATGGGTCACTTGTGTTGTGTGGAAAGTTGAAATCATGAATCCCATAATGGAAAAAGTACAAAAATTAACCATGAGACAAGATTTTTTGGGGCCTCACCTGTAAAAAAAAGCCTTGTTAATTGGCTAAAATGGCAGTGATTTGATGCTAAAACATCTCAAGATATCTTTATCTTTAGATATGTTTGCTCTCAACATTTTTATAAAACTAAGTAAGAGAGTTTTATGTTTGTCTTTAGGTTAGTTAGCTTACTGAGTGTGCAGGTTTTATGTCTTCTAAAGTATCAAATGCTACGTACAATGGATCAACCACACTAGTAAACAACAAAGAACTAAGCAAAAAAGCAGAAATGTTGTATAGCTAGCTACAAACAAATACAAAAAACAAAACCAAAACAACCACATCTGGTATGTAAGCTGACCGGTCATTGCAGGTAAACATACACGTGTGATGCTACATACATAGGGCGGCTGTGGCTCAGGTGGTAGAGCCGGTTGTCCTCCAATCGCAAATTTGGTGGTTCGATCATGTTGGCGGTTCGATCCCTCGCCACAGTCGAAGTGTCCTTGGGCAAGACACTGAACCCAAAGTTGCTCCCAATTGCAGGCAGCACCTTGCATGGCAGCTCTGTCACTATTGGTGTATGAATGTGTGTGTGAATGGGTGAATGAGAAACACATTTTAAAGCGCTTGGGATAAAAGCGCTATATAAGTGCAGACTCTGTGAGGCAAAGTAAGCAGCAGGTAGTTAAGGAAAAACAATGTAGAGCCACCAAGCTGCAGGAAGCAGTCTGCTTCACACTGAGGAAGAGCAAATAAAGCTGGACAAAGTGTCAAAGTAGACACTGAGGACGGGACACACAACTGAAGTCAGGTGGCGCCACAAACTGAATGTACTTGTGCTTGCTCAGGTCTGCAGAAGTTAGTCACAGAGATGCTGCATTGTGAACCTAATGAGTATGGGATGTCTTACAGTTTTTTTTTTAAGTTGGTGATGATGGAGTAAATTATAATATATAAATATATTAGGAAGCAAGACAGCAGTGAATATTTAATGTTGATGTGTTGGAAGCAGAAAAAAATATGCAAATGTAACGATCTGAGGGACTTTGACATGGCTAAATTGATTGGCTAGACAACTGTGTCGGAGCTCCAACGCAGCAGGTGTTGTGGGATGAACTTGCTCTACAGTTGTTGGTACTGACCAAAAGTGGTCCAAGTAAGGGCAACTGGTAAACTGGTGACAGGGTCATGGCCATTGAGCTGCATTGCATGCTGACTACGATAGAAAGGTCTGAAAGGTGAACACATTTATGGGGGTTATGGTCAAAGTGCTCAAGCTAACACCTGTCTACAGCCAAGACAGCTACAATGAAGACTGGACAATTGAAGAAGGTGGCCTGGTCTGATGAATAACATTTTGTTTTGCATCATGTGGACATGTGGGTCATTTATCTGAGAAAGATATGGCAGCAGAATTCATTATGAGATGAATGCAATTTGGTGGAGGCATGTGATGGTCTTGGCAATGTTCTGCTGGGAAACTTTGGCTATTGCCGTTTGTGTGGTTAATATATTCATGTGGATAGTAGGTAGGTATGTGATCTAGAACTAACCTGTTCTTCACATTTACCTCTTCTTGGTAAAGGTATTTTGCCACACTACAGAAATTATTCAGGAATGGTTTGAAGAATATGGCATACATATAGTAAGTGTATGCAATCAAGTTCTGTGATTAGGTCAAATTAATCTGCATATGTAAATAAATAATGACAAAAAGTAAGGATGGACACTAAAACCTTTCAGGTTATTCATTGTCTATCATCTAATTTTCCATGTTGTACAACATTTTTGAAAAGGACCATTGAGACAGAAGTGGAACATTAATGTGCAATTCTTGATCTTGGACTATCCATAAGACATTTCTGTGTCAGGAGGACAACATTAATGGTTTTCCAAAGAGGTATGCATGTAGCAATTCAGCTGTAGAAAACAAAAACAATGGATACTGTATGAGCATTCCAACTTCATGCAGCCAGGTCATTCAGATCAGTGTTTTATAAAAGATGACAATTATGCCAAATCACAGTCTTTGGCATTCTTGCTGTCTCAGAATGGCATCCTCCCAGTTTGCATCTACTTCATTACAATTCACAGGGTTGGAAAACTTGCTTGAAATATCTGTACTGTTCTGCTTTTTATGTTTACCTTTACTGTACCACCTACTGGAATCATACCTCCAGAATGGTTGGTTGATGTTACAGATAATAAGCACACATGACTGACAAAAACTACTTGGGGAGACAACGAGCTCCAGGAGCTTCTTAGCCTCTGATCAGAGGATAAAAAATTACAGCAGGGACTGTTAAGGTTGATTTGTATTAACATTTGATTTACCTTCGATAACTGTTTCAAAAGCACCAGTATGCAGAGTATCTCCTACGCATGCTGTGTGCTGTATGCAATTCACAGTAGAAGCTGTTGTGTTACACGTCGCGGCTCTTCTGACAGCACACAAAGGTGAGCAAAGGTGGCACAATTAGAGGGTCTCGTCTAGTGGCATTTTATCTCTGCGGACCCTCTGCGCCAGCTTCTCTTGGTATAAACAGTTTTAGTTAATTCTCCCTTTGCATTCTGGGAAACAGTAGGAACTACATGTCTTAAATGTGCTGAGATGATACCACAAATATAGAAACCAGGAAGACATTTACCACATGATAAAGCATTAATATCTGTGCCAAAACATCTAATCATAGACTTTATTACAGGTTTTGAAGTGTAAATTTGTAATCATGGTGTTGTACAATCCATGAAAAGAGCAGCACTGATTTACTAACATCCAATATTTAAGACATGCAATAAAAGTAAAGGAAAGGACAAAAAAAAATCTGATGTTACGGAGATAAAATGCTGCAATTAGTAGAGCAGTTAAAATAAGCTTTGAGATACAGTTTGTGTTTGAATAATAAATATTACAATGGCATTTTAGTGATTTTACAGCCCTTCAATCCTTAAATGCTTGTTTGTTTGACACTATCAGGCACTCATACAAGGCAGACTAATCTATCTGTTAAATATTGCTAGTAATCTTTTTTGTATAGTATTAAAAACAACAAACAGACAAAAGTATTGTTTCAGATGTCAGAAAAATATGTTTGTGTTTGAATGCAGTGTTATTTCTCATTGTAAACTCGTCCAGTTTATGTTGTCTTAACCTGCACAATATTTCTGACTGACACCTACTAAACCCAAGTGAGTCAGCACAGCAATCATGAAGAAGAAGAAGAGACATCTCCTAAGTTTTGGGGCAAATTTGCAGCTGAACAGGTTTTGTTTCTGGACAAACCAATGTTGGAAATTTCGCCACAGAAAACTACTTGTGTGTTCACAAGAACAGCATCAAAGCACTTGAAGTGACTATATGAGATTTCCTCATGAGTCCTAACCTATCTTTGGACGTTGATTCTTTCACCATTTAGAGCACACATTGGCTGATATATAATCTAAATCAGTGTATCATTTTAGTAATTTGATTCTGTTTTAAATAATCTAATTTATGAGTCATACACTAATTCTTCATCAGCAGCAGCTCCAGGTACATCTTCATTTGCAGAACTTTTGCTATCAAAACCCTCAAAACAGCAGTGAAAATGCTGTTCTGAACTAAACCTGTAACCAGCCGCAGCATCATTATGTTGTTGAGATAAGAAGCCAAATAAACATATGTGCACATCAGCCACATGCTCAAACTTAATGCATTATTGTTTATTTATTTATTTATTTTTATCCTGCATACATACATATACGTATCATTTTTG